TGCTTAGAAAAGAATTTCCTCAAAAAAGTTTGTCTGCTGAACTCTTGATGGATACAGGTGCTACTGCTCATCTGAGATCTGTGATTGCCCCGAACTCCTCCAATTCATGTAACAGATCCCCAGTGCGGTCTAATTCCATTAAGAGCACAAACAACAGCACCATTCATCATGATCCATAGTTTCCTCTGAAACTGAAGAATGAGCATTTCACATATAGGTATTTGAGTGCACTGCATAATTTTCCCATGCACCAAATGGGAAGTGCCACAAAGTTTGAAGTGCCATTAAGAATCCAGAATGAAGCAGCCAGAGAGAAGTTGTGCGAATAACATGTGACCAATTAAGCATGTATCCAGCTGACGGGATTTGATTATTAGAGCATGAGTATACCAATGCTGCAGGATTCTGAACTCTAGGTATAGAGAGACCAAAGGCATCTCGCAGCAACAAACAAGTTTGTCACTCTCTCTAGCACATTCCCAAAGCAATTGCCTCAATCTAGGTCCATGAACTATTGCCAATACATTCCAGAAGTGAACAAAAGGCCTGATATGGCATTAGGATGGATGGATGGATTGGGACATGGTATCCTCTCTTCTACACTGAAAAAACAGCAATGGGAGATAAATGCATTTCATTTTATGTTTCTCATCTAAACATCTTTTTAGTCTTGTGCCATTCATTTAATGTTGAATGATGTTCAACCTTTTAGAATAAATCATGTTGAAATGAAAGAAATTAGTTATATTTCTCTGGAAACTCCGCCCCCATGGGAACACGCAAAGGAAATTCAGTTAACTGCTCTGCTCCATAGCAGTCACTTTAGCACGAGGCCAGTAGCATATAGCATTAGCACCTCAGCTCCACCCACGTCTCGCCTCTTTGCCCATTTTATTTTATCCGGGAGTGACGAGAAGTGACACGCTGCCAAGATGGTGGCGGCCGGCCCCACCCCACTTTAGGCTTCAAAAACAAGGGGGTAATCCATCAGCCGGAAGTTGAAGCCTCACGGGAGCTGCCATTGTAGCATAAAAATTACAATGGCACCTGCTGTTAGCATTCATTGACTCCCATTCATTTTGGCATGACAGGCTCCATTACCTTGTATATTACGTTATGGCCCCCTTAGAAGCAGGTTTTGTAAAAATAGGCTAACAATTGTAGCAAACCCCCAGCCAGACAATGGTGAAGCGTACTAATGTTGCCAGAAGCCTTTATTTATGTTCAGCCGTTAGCCTTAGTTAAACACAAATCTACTTTCCTTTCAACCTTTCTTCATGAAACAATGTAAGAGCTAGAGGACAGATAAATAACATAAAATGAGCTCTTACAAACAAAACATTACCCGAAGGCCAAATTAACCAGACAAACAGTCATTTATATAAGACCTTTTCTGTGACATTACCCGTGTAGTATTAACAATACTAAAAAGCTTGAGTTTACATGTCACGAGAGAAAATAATACATTTAAACACTTATTCACAGATAAATGGATTAACCTTCATATTACTGCACATAACTATTAAACAAGTTAAACACACAATACCTTGTTCCCGTTCCAGCTAGGTGCTTAAATGATCCTTTTAGAGATTTTTACAATTTCAGACCGAAATGTGCTTCTCCTTCTTACTTCCGTGGGTGCGTCGGACTAACTAGTCTCGAAACGCCAAAATAAAAGTCTCTTAATATTAACGAAAAAAATTATAAAATAAAGCTCTGAAATTATTATTTACACTTTCCTTAGAGTTAGTTACAACGATTGCGCCATAACGAATCGACTCTCTGTTGCACAGTTGAGAAATGAGCGTATAGATAGAGAAGCTCATAAAGTTGATCCTGCTGCTAGCTCATGGACAGATTTCACTCGGCACAGCTACTAGAAGACATACAGGTTGCTCACGTGACAGGCTCAGTTTGAGGCTGCGCAGTACGCCTGGCGATCAGTCAATGGGGCCGCTGTGCCCATTTCTTTTACTGTCTATGCTATTTAGCTCCACCGCCATGCCTCCAACTGCTCAGTTTTTCAGTACAGTACCCTTTCTTTTATAAATATAATAAAAATAAGACTTTTTGCAGATGGATGCAATACTAAGAAGTAGCCTAGGCTTCCCAATCCCAAGATTTCGAATGCAGACAGTAACTTCTTTTCCTGAATGAATCAGCATTTTAAAGGAAAGGATTGAATGAATGATTCGCTGGGGCAGTTTACACCTGGCCATTTTATGCGTTTTCTGTCCATCCATCGCGAAAAGACCATGTGTAAATGCCCTCTGAAACGCATTTGAGACGGATTTGAATCCACTTCAGGACGTGAGCAGCTGAGCATATTCATCAAGCCAACGTGCAAACTAGCAAATCAAAGTGAAAGTAAGTCGCAGACAATGATCTTCATTAAAAGCAAAGAAACAAAATGATCTTACCAGGGCTGTTGCCGCTCTCTCTTGCTATCTTTGATTTTGAAATTAGCCGATGATCAATAAAGCAGCTCATATGTTTTGCTTTCGGTGCATGCACTCCATTAAATCTGCTTAGCGTGGGAGTTGAAGATCGGATTTATATCCGTTTTGCAAAAACACATGTGACCAGATGTTAAATATGGAAATGTTTTGATAAATCAGTTAGCTATCCGATCTGAGAAACGCATTAAGTGGCCAGGTGTAAACAGTCCCATAAAGATGGTCACTTGTCACCACCTAAATTTGTAAATTAGGAAACTGAAGAAGTGACAAACCTTCAGTGAATGGATGATGGAGCGGGATTTGAGGTGGGACAAAGTTAATCTGGGAACTCTGAAAACATGGGAACCAGAGGGCAGAGCATGAGCAAAACCTAGGGTGGAAGGAAATAGGTCACTTGCCTGGGAGACTTAAGAGGAACACAGTTCATCTGAGTGCCACATTGTTTCTCAGTGAGTTGGCCTATGACTTCAGTGTCAGTTTTGTCCCATAAAACATTTTGTCCCTCACGTTCTCTCTCTCTCTCTCTCTCTCTCTCTCTCTCTCTCTCTCTCTCTCTCTCTCTCTCTCTCTCTCTCTCTCTCTCTCTCTCTCTCTCTCTCTCTCTCTCTCTCTCTATTGTCTTTCCCAGGCAGGACAGAAAAATGTTACAGTTGGTTGCCAATCTAATGTCAAAACTGATAAATCTCTAACACTGAAAAAAAAAAAAAATTAATAAACAGCATCAACATCAGCTGACACCAGACGACTTCAACGTCTGTGCTGTACATAAGTCTAAAGTAACAAGATAAATTAAGAAAACTGACTTATATTACTTTTTCTAAATTACTCAGTGGAGAAAATTAGAAATTTCTAGAGCCATTGTATTCTCGCTGCAGCCGTTAGTTCAAGCTCAAGTTCATTTTATTTATATAGCACATTTTATAGCAGCCACTGACTGACCAAAGTGCTTTACAGGACTTCAGCATTAAAAGACAATAATACCATGCATAATCGTGTTGGTTTAAACAGGTTTAAACCAAATTTTGGAACTTGGTTTAAGTTCCAAAACTAAATTTCTCAAGCTTTAGAATGCCTTTTAAGGCCAAATGAAATACTAACAAAACCAAACACAGTTCCACAGATGAAACTATACACAAGAGCTTTGATTTGAATAAAAAGAAAACACGGTTGAGAACTCAATCCATCAGCAGTCCTCAATCAGAACTCTGTGAGAAAGTGTAACTCCTCCTCACTGTAAAAAAAAAAAATGATCAATAAATTATGACAACATATGTTTTTACATTGCTTTAACTCACCAAAATAAGTTAAGCAATTTTCAACTTTTCTTATAAGTTATACAATATTCATTTAATTTTGAAAAGTCAGTTTAATGTAATTTTAAGTTTAATAGACTTAAACATCCAAGTTGATTGTATTTACAATTTTAAGGGAGCAACTTTTTTTTCACAGTGTATCCTCTCAGCACAAAACTGTGTCAATGATGAATTATGATCTGAGCACAGCTAAAACACAAACGTGACCTCAACAGAGGATTATTCACAACCACAGGAGCTCTGGCCCCTCCCACTCAGAGAATGGAGGGAGGTTTTAATTTTTATGTCAACTATGTTTTGCTTTTATTTTACTGCACATATTGGCTTATCCACTTTAAACCATAGACATGAATCAGCGCACTGCTTAATCTTCTAACAGGACTGTGTAATGGTAACACTGACCTCTGCTGACAGCTGAAGAGAAACAACTTGGCTCTCACAAATATCCTACAGTAAATCATAAAGAGAAATTAACACTCAGACTGCTTTCAACGAAATCAAATTATAATATCAAATTGGTTAGAGTAAGTCATAAAGAGAAGTGAACCCCCAGACTTCTTTCAATAAAAATAATGATAAAAAAATATTCCCAGGAACTTTACATTTGTTTTCCATGACATGAGTTCTCGATTTTAACACTTGAGATCAGTCTTTGACAATCTTAAACAGGGTACTTCAGCCAGCGTATTTAGCATAAGGAGACATTTTTTGAGAAAAAGTGGGACATGGGATTAAAAAAACACTACCCATCGATGAAGTGGTCAGGAACATCAGACTATGTTCATGTGTACATGTAAGCCTTAATATTTATACATTTATCTCCAATGTGGGCTACAAATATAAAAGGCCCTGGTGAAAAGTCCAGCTTAGACCATGCATGAATTTTTATTTATTTTTATTTTTTATATTTTTAAGTAGGAAAATCCTTTTGGAGTGCTCTAAAGGTGCATAGAAAATAAATAAGGAAAACTTTTTGTCCATGGAGGCTACCAGCATCCAAAACACTGGGACGGTCACAGTGAAATACTAAAATATTTGCCCAATGTTGTTTATTGCTAAGTAGCCTACTTTAGGTGATGAGTGTGTTAATTACACTGAAACGTTGCATAGATGGTTGGTGTTTGACGGTACTTTCGATGAATAAACTGTGTGGGCGTTTGACGCTCCGTGAGAATAGGTGGCAGTATCGAGTCTTTCATTGGCGATGTTGTATTCAAATGATAATCGTCGAGAAACCATTCTTATTCCGGGTCGTTCTGTATTGTTATGCTAAGTGCAAAACAGCATTAGGAGCTTCAGGTTATAATAAATACAGTCGTCATTTGAGGTTTAGAAAACTACTACTTCAAATTAGTAAAATACTACGACAGGATGCAAAGACCACAGTTTCGCCATCCGCGCCAGGGCTCGGGTCCACGGGCAGCAGGTTTCCGCAGCCCGCCTCCAGTTTATGAAAGGACAGGGAACATGTTTCCATCGCCTCCGTGGGCATTATCCGGCCCTCCGCCGCCGTTTGGACCGAGATTTGGACCGTGTTCTCCCAATACCCCGCCGAGAGAGTTTGGTGGTAATAGGGGTGGTGGTGGGAAATATAATAACGGTCAGTCTCCAAATCTAACACCGCACAGATCGAACGCCAGTCCCCGAGGCGCACCGTTCAGACGCTCGCCGTATGAGAGTCCCGGGCGACACTCTGGATATCAGGTAGTTCACTCGTGTTCAGGCCCAAATGCGCGATTTTAGTTTTTATACAGTATTATGTTCTGTGATTTCGCCTCTTTGCCGCAAATTGTGCTGCTCTGATCCGAATTAATTTCTGCGAATTGTGTGCGTTTATATTTTGTTGTTGGCTAAGACACTATAATATAACCCTTGTTTAAATGTGGTCGTTTTAACGTCTTTCTGCATGATAATTTTCTCCTTAAGGGTTCACCACGGACATCAACACCATATGGTTCAGCGCATGGCAGGGAGAGAGGGACAAATGATATGGAAAAGTATTACAAACCATCAATGCTTCAAGATCCCTGGGCTGAACTACAGCCTATCTCAGTCACACAAACTCAGTCTAAATGCAACTCCAAACAAACCAATACAAGCAGACAAGGGAGGTACTACAATTAAAACGCAGTACATTTCTCTAACTTCAGTGAGAGGCGAAAGTCACTGAACAGTCCTTTTTATTTAGTGCAGCAGCTGTAGTGCACTAAACTTTTAAAGTCAAACGGAGCCAGACGAACACATGGACCTGAGGCAGGATTCACCAGCAATAATTCTTGAGAAACTTGACTCCACAGCATTTTTATGTACTTTCTTGTATTAAGAGACCTTCTCTTTTACTTTTATATCTGCACTTCAACGTCAGGATCATAAAAATGGGGTGCGTTTGTAACTGGCAGCCTATTGAAAATAGCTTGCCGTCTCTGACACACTCCCATGGAGTTTGCAAATCTTTCATTGAATTCCGAGGAATATGTCTTCAAGCTCAAAATGCAGTCTAACAAAAGAGATGTCTGATCATCACCACATCCACCTACCTCTCAGTATTGACTGTGCTGTTAAACTAGAACGGGTCAAGTATTTGTAGGTTTGGCTCCTTTCCTAATTTTCTATGGACTGTTTTTTGTTTTTTAAACTTTTTATTTTTGGTGACACTTTTTTGGTTTTATTAAAATCTATGGCTTTCTTTTCTGCATATATATAAAAAAAACATGATTAACAGATAATGTCATTATAAATTGCCCTCAAAGGACCATTGTTGGATTATAAGCCTAATTTAATTAAACTTTGAAAATCAATACAGTCCTTGTCAAAAAACAAACATTGAAAGTGAAAATCTGTTGCGCTTTATTTACTAGTAAAAACATGTTTAATATCTTCAAAGTTAATCTTACTGTGGATTTTTGAAGATAATGTAGGTAACGCCACAGCATTACTACACGTCCAAGGAAGTTGTAATTCAGTAACTACACTTTTTGCTGTAGGATATGCCATATGAATCTAATGTTAAAGGTCTACAAAATAGATTTTTATTAATGTAATCGAACCATTTACATTTTGAAGTTTAGTATGCTTAAATGTTTGCTTTTCGTTTTCATTCAACATTCGTATCACCAGAATTGCTGTTGTAATACTACATTAGTGATGTCCATTTTTATGTCTTTAAATTTAACCTTATTTAGCATTAAGATTACTGCATGTTTAGCATTTGCCAAAAGACACTCAAAATATAGAATGAAATGAAAACATTTCATCTTGTACAAGTAATAAGAAAGACTCAAACAATAGAGGCTTATATTAAAATGTCTTGTATTGTAAACATATAGCACTCAAAGTCAGTCACTTTTTTTATTTTTACACAAGTAATGAAGTGTTTCTTGAGGCATCCGCCATTGATAAGTCAGCATCATTGCCCCGTGGCACACTCACCTCACAGACCAATCGAGAGCTTCGTTTGAAGGGTAGTAACCCACTATGACAGATAAAACAGAGGGAACAAAAAAAGTTGCAAACGCCACAGTGCACACATAGATTTAGGTGAAGACAGTTAAAGGAAGCTGTGTTTTAGCTGCAAAAGAACAATATTTGGTAGAAGCCAGAATAATGTGGAAATAAACTGTCAACATCACATTTATGTACACATGGATGTGCTTATTCAAAACCATTCATCTAAGGGTGACTCTGAGGTGTCTGAAATGCAGATTATGTCCAGCCCTTTTAGAGTTTCTTAGTTTTAGTATGAGCGAGTATGATTCCGCAATATACTCTTGCCCTCAAAATAACTAAAATTCGGAACATTTTAATTTACAATAGAAAATATAATTACACTGGATAAAAGTTAAAAGAAAATTTAAATTGCATATAAGTTCTAATAAAGTACACACTTCAGTCTGTAATAAAACATTCCGACCCGTTTTCACAGTAAAGTTGACAAGCTAGATGATGCTCTCATTTCTAAATGGCAAAATCCATGTGTTATTTTGGGACCCATAGAAAAGCACAAATAAAACCTCTAAATCTGGTGCCATGCACACAGGGATGAGTGAATAAGCCCTTTTGACTATAAGTATATTATGCATGAAAGATTAGTTTGTTAAATCACATATTTGAAACAAGTTTGATGCACTAAGGAAATTAAGATGAAATAAGGGACAGTGCCAAATGTTCTGAAATGCATGTCATTTTACACTTTAGAGAGTGTTTGAATTAAATCAAATTTTTTTCGTAAAAGCCAATTTCTATAAACTCCATTAATTCTTGAGTTCATTAGATATTCAGCTGTTTTTAATCATTTGCGCATTGCCTTAGGAAGTATTTAGCAATGCCCATGTTAGACGAAGTCATATAGCTGTAATTTTCTTTTAGATAGGTGCCTAAAAGCATTCATACATGGAGCTTAACACCCACTTTTGTATACTCTAACAATAAGGCTTTACTTTTGGAACTGAAACAGAACAGGATGTTTAAATCTCAAAACACACCGTGAACTTCGTAACAAATAGCTTGGAGTAGTAGTATTTTCCCAGCAGTATTAGTGTTCAGCACTCAATGGACTCACACTTTACTAAAAGCAACTAAAGTGAATGGAATCTAGTAACAAATTAAAATTATAGTAGTATTTTATGGTGTGCTTGAGCTGAGAAATGTTCTTATCTGATATGTCAGACCTTTGACACCCTTTGTCATTTTAATGCATATATTCTGTCGACTTATACCTATCGAAGAACCCTACACACTGTTGACTAGATATGTTTTTTTAGAGGTGATCTCCAGCAGTTAACTGAAGAATGATGAAACCTGATGATTTTTTTTTTGAAGCAGTGGAAGGGTAAGAGAAGAGGTGTTAGCATTCTAGTGCGACTCGGTTGTTATAAAATACAACATCTTTCTCGAATTCTCTTTGCCAAACTTTTCCTCTTCTTTTTTCCATTTTTTTCTTTGCCATCTTCCATTTTTCTGGCTCTGATCTCACGCATGAGATCAAAAAACACCTGGAAGGATTATGAAGTTTGTATGAATGTCTCATTGAAGAAGAAAAATCCTCTTCAGTTCTGTTAAAACTAATTCATTCTGTTTATTAAAGCGATAGTCCATCCAAAAATGAAAATTCTGTCATCTGGTCATCCAAACCTGTATGACTGACTGACTAACTTCTATGGACCGCAAAAAGAAGATATATTTTTGTCTATAAAATGACAGTCAATTGGGGCTGTTTTTTTGTATTTAAAACAAGTACCTTCTTTTATGTTCCACAGAAGAAAGTAAGTCATACAGGTTTCAAACGGCATGGGGGTGAGTAAATGATGACAAATAGCATTTTTGGGTGAACTATCCCTTTAATGATCACATGTAATGGTCGCCAAACCAGGCCTACCTTATCTACGTTGGCACGGGTTTTGGCTGAAGTCTCGACGTAGCTGACTGCCCACTGCTCTGCTCTGGCCTTGGCCTCCTCCACCCCGACTTGCCGTCGGTCCTCCAAGTCTGACTTATTTCCCACCAGCAGGAAAGGTACGTTATCCTCCTCCTTCACCCGAAGAATCTGTTCTCTTGAAGTTTAGAGATAAAATGAGAAAACTTTGACTAGTATTATATTAATCATCAGTTTCAGAGTCATTTCTCTACCTGAAATCAGCAGTTGCAGCAAAGGATTCAGATTCTGTGATGGAGAACACACAAAGAAATCCCTCTCCGCTGCGGAAGTAGTTGTCCCGAATGGCAGCGTAGTCCTCCTGTCCTGCCGTGTCGAGGATGTCGATTTGGACCTCCTCTCCATCCAAAACCACCTTTTTTCTGTAGCTGTCAGCTTTAGTGGGCTCGTAGTCTTCCACAAACTTGAAAGAGACCAGCATAATTATACTTTATGGGTAACATCAATTAACACACTGTGAAATTCCAAAATTTGAAGTCTTACCTCATCATACATGAATTGCAGTGTTAGTGCGGACTTGCCCACGCCACCACTGCCGACCATTATCACTTTGTGAAGGGCCAAAGCATTCCTGTTTGCAGCCATGGCTTCAAGCAATGAAACAGGTGGCAGTGCAGTGAAGAAGTGGTGAAAAATCTGAGGTAGATGGGTATTAAGGGAACCCTAGAAATAAGCTCTTTGAGAAGAACACAGCAGATTTTAAAGCTTGTGAAACTTTTAACAATTACTGACATTCATTAATAATAATATATACCTGCACCCTTTCAAGTCAGTCAAACGTGATTGGGCTGATTTTTATGAATAATCAACTTTCCGACCCTGCCTGTAATGATGAAAACACAGGCCTACTTTCTGTTGCATCCTCTGAGAAAATGCTAAAACAATGAGGCTTCTCATTAAGGCTAGCATAGCATTTGTTGGTTCCCTTCCTAACTGACACTGACATCATTGCTCACTCAGATTCTCTTCACTAGAATCTGAGGACTATCAATACATTCACCCTAAATAAAATTGTTATTACATACATACCCGTATGTTGTTCCGAACCTTTTTTTTCTTCTACTTTTTCTGCATGTGGAACATAAAATCTTTTTTGGTATTAAAGGGTTAGTTCACCCAAAAATGAAAATTGTGTCATTAATGACTCACCCTCATGTCGTCCCTAGCCCGTAAGACCTCAGTTCATCTTTCGGAGAACACTGTTTAAGATATTTCAGATTTAGTCTGAAAGCTTTCTCTCCCTCCATTGAATATGTATGTACGATATACTGTCCTTGTCCAGAAAAGAAATAAAAACATCATCCAAGTAGTCCATGTGACATAAGTGGATTAGTTAGAATGTTTTGAAGCATCGAAAATACAATTGAGCCCAAAAATAACAAAAACTACTACTTTATTCAGCATGGTATTGTCTTCCAGTTCTGTTGTCAATCCTTGTTTGGTGACGTAAGACACTGCTGACGTGTTCTGGTGCATCCGTGTATTAAGGTTCAAATAAATATGGCTTGGTAAAAAATGCAAGTCTTTCTCGTGTCAAAATCCTTAGACATGTTTGCGAAGATTGTTTTGTTTACAGCATGCGTCTCCCTCATACTGTGAACGAAGCTCAGGCGCACCAGATTAAAGATCAGCATCACTACGGACTCATGAACACGAATTGACAACAGAAGAACCGGAAGAGAATACAATGTTAACAAAAATCATAGTTTTTGTTATTTTTGGACCAAAATGTATTTTCGATGCTTCAAAACATTCTAACTAATCCACTGATGTCACATGGACTACTTTCATGATGTCTTTATTTCCTTTCTGAACTATACCGTACATACATTTTCAATGGAGGGACAGAAAGTGCTCTCACTAATATCCTAAAACTGTGTTCTGAAGATGAACGGAGGTCTTACGGGCTTGGGATGACATGAGGGTGAGTCATTAATGACATACAGTAATTTTAATTTTTGGGTGAACTAACCCCTTACTGTTAATAACCAAACAGTTTTGGTGAACATCGACTTCCATTGTATAAACAAACATTTCTTAAAATATCTTTTTAATTGTTTACAGAATATAGAAAGTCATAAAAAGGTGAGCAAATGATGACGGCATTTTCGTTTTAAGGTGAACCATCACTTTAAATATTCCTAACAAATACCACGTGAAATCAATTGGCTTCCGTGTAAAAAAAAAAAAACTCTAAAAGTAAACCTCTGAAATCATGGGTGGGGTTACTAGACAATAATCTTGGATTACAGCTATTGACTCAAGTGCAGACTGCTAACTACAGCATCCGTTTAAGGTTTACTCAGTTTACACAGCTCATCTAGTGTAGGAGAGGGTGTGGCTAATGGTAAACTACATGATGCATGTAGTACAATTGATTTCTTTTACATGATTGACCCCCCATAGTAAATATTTTAAAATAATGAAAAATTCAAATGAGCACTTGACTTATGGGGCATCACATTTCTATAAAGGTGCCTTAGTAGGCTTTTGTTTGTGGCACTGGTTCATTTGAATAAAAGACGAGATTCGAGAATGTTACCAGGTTGCAATTTAAGGACAGGTAATAAAGCAGTAAATATTTTTGAACCAAAGACTACAGGTTGGTGAATATTTCAATACAGTGTTGATGAAAGGGCCTTCTGTTAATTCATACAGACAGCATTCTTATCAAAAGATATCATTTGATTCAAAATGAACATTTTCTGTCATAACTTTTTTTTTTTACATGTTAGCTTACACTGTATGGGCAGATATATAGATAGATGTTAAAGTACCATACTACTATGAGGTATTGATATCCACCTCTTAGGGGGCAAATAAGGCAAAGTTACACTCTTCAGGGTACATTCCTACTGAAAGGCTGTTTTACCCCAAAAGGTAGGCTACAATTCTAGCACACTGAAAATGTAAATAACCTGATAACAATAGCTATAGACGGCCTTAACCTGTAGAAGCAGTATAATTTGAAATCTAGAACGTGTTGTAATTTGTCTCTACAAGCATTTCCTTTTGTGAGATTCACTATAATAATGTAAAAGTATAAGTAAATATCATTTACTATGGCTGCTACTGTCCTTTGACGCAAAACTAACAGCTCGACAGGTGACAGCTGTGATGATGTAGAAAGTGTAACGTTACTTTTAAAATCACAGTTTATACAATTATCAGGGTGCGGGGATCAATTTCTGACCAATAAAAACTATTTACAGGGTCGTGATACATTTCTCAACAATTAAATAACGACTTACAATGCAAGCGCGTGATATTTGACACCTGTTCCGCATGTAACGTTACAGTCGTTTAAGGAAAACAAGACTCGCGTGAATGGACTTAATTCACTCAATAGCCACAAGTGATTGAATTATTTCAATGGTATGCTGTGCCCCATCATTCAAAAAGAGAATAACGACAACATTGATTCAGAAAAGTGCTCATTCAGAGCTATGCCTGCTGCTGCTGCTAGCTAGCTAACTTAAACATTTTGAAATGACACGCCGACGGGCTGCTGTAACGTTAGTTCGCGAAATCGTAAAATCACGAGTGATTACCCTGTTATATTTAAATAGTACTCACAGCGCGCTAACTGACACTTCCGTGTTTTAGAGGATCTCGTTTTAACACTCCACAGCTAACGTTAATAGGGAACACTACTGCTTTAGTACGAGGTTGTCTATTAAGCCATCTAACAAATTAAACGAACGTCGTCAGTGTTTATTACAATACAAGTTGTAGAAATGTGTGTATAAATCAGATACTTACCAAATGAGCATGAGCTCGCGAGTTTGAAGTCTTGTTAGCTTTGCTGCTGCGGGCAGATTTGTTATGCTTCAGTGCATGACTAAGATGGGAGCAGCACTGCTGTCAGCTTCGGCTTGGCTGGGCTTGGTCTTCTTCACACTGACTAAGTTACCAGGTTAATTCTGAATTACAACATGAAAAAAGTGCTAATATGCTAAGACCTGAATGTACGCCACATAACTCGATGGGGTTACGTCCGTCATATGTTTTACTTCTCAAAACTATTTAGCCTTATTTATTTCACCTTTAAACTTTTCGTAATACTATTTTCTTGTCGATTATACGTCTACTTTAGCATCGACTGTACAGCTGAGACGCAAGCTAGCATGTTTTGAGACGTCATCACAATAATTTTCCACCTAGAGGTCTCCTGGTTAAATTGTACATCACAACTAGGAATGCTAGCCTTTAATGAATGCTGAATTATTATTATAGCAGTTGCAGTTCAACAAAAATAAATACAAAATTCTCACCATAAATGCTGATTATCAAGTTGGCATGCAACCATTCAGATTCTTGATCTCTTTTATAAGACAATGGTGATGGTGAGCTGGGCTGTGTGATAAGTAGATCCTATCAAATGGAATCACAAGTAACATAATGAATTAAGTATTAGAGGTTATTTTTAAAATATTAAAACATTTATCTCAATCTGAATTTCATTGCATTAGATCCAAGTGGCATCTGCATTAATGCTGAGACTAACTTCACTTTTCTAAGGCACTTTTTCCAATTATTTTGAATCAGTTGGTCATTTCGTATGGATGTATGAAGCCAATTCCTCTCGAGTACAAGGGTATCTTAGCTAGCAGAATATCGCCCGGTTTAGTTCACATCAATGGCAAACATGAATCACAAAGTTTGACAACCTTTTTGAACATATAATGAATTTTTTTAAAGTGCCATTTAAAAAACAAAACACTTGTTTCATTATTATGTTATATAATATTTGTTATACATTTTTTTTTACATATATAAGACATAACATTTATAAAACTACTGTTCAAAAATTTGTTGTCAGTAAAATCTTTGTAATGTTTTTGAAATAAGTCTTTCATGCTCAACCTGGCTGCATTTTTTTATTCAAGAATATAAGCAATATCAGTAATATTGTGAAATAGTTTTATATTTTAAAATGTAATTCCTGTGATGTCAAAGCTGAAATATTCAGCATCATTACTTCAGTCTTTAGTATCACATGATCCTTTAGAAATGTTGATTTGCTGCTTAAGTCAACAAGTGAAACATCATCACATTTGAAAGCTGTGGTGCTGCTTAATATTTTCTTTCAGGGATTGATGATGAATTGAAAGATCAAAATAATATGATTTATTTGCAATAGAAATATTTTGTATCATTTTACAATAAAACCACAACATGACTTGGCTTCATCGATAACAGAGATATATTATTCTTCATGTTGTAAAGCCATCTGAAGAGTGTTTATTTTGTACTCTTATGTAAATGTATGTGCCAAGATTAAATCAAAAATACCAGGTGAAAAGAAAAACACTCATTTAGTCAAGAGCTTTGAAATGAAAGTATATGCCTTTGTTTAAACTGTTTTTGACACTATAAGCTATGATTTAATCATACATTTGGTTAATTTGACATCTCTGCTGGCTTTGCACTGAAATGCGGCCTTCGAGGGAGGCACCGAGTTTACATAAAGAGCCACAGAAACATTGCTGAGTGTCTGCGTCAGCCATGATATTTATTTGCGAGTATACAGTAGTGGCTCTCTTACAAGTGTCTGGTTCTCTCTTATACAATATAAATCTCCCCATGTCTTACGCAATAACCTTCTTAATTGCTGACATGTTATTACTTTAACAGCCCCGGTCATATTGGAGTTGCTCTCCATTCTTTCCCCTCAGTGAGTGCTCGAGGTTGGTGGATGAACACGCTGTATCGCACACCCTGGTTAGCAGCAGCGCGAACGAATCCACTATTCGCAGTCATAGTGATGGCCCGCAGCGAGTCCCCTGTCCCAAAGATCATCAGTGATCTACGGTTCACTTTTGAGCTCGCAACTAAGCGGTTGGTTCGCTCAGACGGCTGGTCCGGAACCACTTTGAGTCTGGCTAGCAGCTCCTCAGCTCGGGATTTTTCTCCCGGGCCTCCTAACGTATCCAAGATCACGCGGAAATCTTCAACTGCAGAATGACAAGCAAACAGCTCTTTTCCCTTCATGAACTCCTCCAGCCGGGGCAGGACCTTCTCTTGCCGTTCCTGTGCGGCCTGCTCTGTCAGCACCACCTCTTTAAAAGTAAAGTGACAGTTGCCGTGGCTGAGGGAGGACACGTACGTTATTAGAGTGGTGATGTCGAGGTTCACCCTGTTGCACACATCTACCTTCACCTCAGTAGGAAAGGCAAGGCTGGCCACAATGGTGTCTCGATCAACTCGGGTGTGCATGAGGTCTGTGTCGTCACTATCGTCGTCATCAGCATCCTCTTCTTCCTCGACCAAAAAATCATTTTCTCCCTCCTGACCCTCTTCCTCACCACCGTGCCTGTCTTGACTGTCTTCTTCCTCCTCCTCTTCCTCCTCCTCTTCTCCACCTTCAAGCATTGTATTAACAGCAACAATGTCACCTCTCACAGATATGCCCATTTCTTTGAGCTTGTCTGCCATAGGGCTGGATACCCCATTGTAGAAGGCAAATATAATGTGCGGGTTGCTGTACTGCACAGGCTGCTGCTGACTGGCCTCAAGGAAATCTTCAGCTTGCCGGATCACGCTTTTATCCCCATACTGGCCACGGCCTTGCCAGATGTTGTGTAGTGCCTCCGCCTTGCGCCCGATGGCTTTTACCCAAGTGTGTCCTCCGTTTGCCACCACGTCAACCACCAACGTCTGCTTCTGTCCATCAGGTCCCTCATAGGTGAACACGTGCAAGACGCTCAACACATTTTCTAGATTCTCGGCTGACTCAACGATGGCCCTTAGATGAGTGAGATTGGTGCTTTGCAGGTGAGACTCCTTGATCACAACCTTGCCGGCCTCCACCTTCTGTAGGAACTTGAGCTCAGCCCTGAGTTTACTGCACAGTTTAGCGCGTCCCTCGACCTCACGGCCTTGTCGACTGCATATCTTGTCCACTTGCTCAAGCAGCTCCTTGGCTACTCTGATCCTGTCCTGCAGCGTGTTGTAAGTAGCCATTGCTGTTGAACATTATTCCTATAAAATGAGAATGAAAAAGGTTTAAATAATGGCCACAGAGCTGCAAGACTCTCTCTCTCTCTCTCTCTCTCTCTCTCTCTCTCTATCTATCTATATATATATATATAATACTAGAATATTTAGAATTAAATCATCTATAATTTTCTAGATTTTGGTATGATTTAAAAAAGTAATACACAAGATCTTCCAGGTAATCTCCCAAAGCAATTTCGTTTTTTTATATAAACCATATCAGCAAAAGCAGGATATAGCATAAAAGCATACTTGAGCACTAAAGAAGTGCTAGAAAACCGAATAGTTCGCTAAGGCGTGGTTTTAACGAAACACTACAGGATAAAGCACATATAAAGATATAGTTTTCTATATTCTTACGAGAATATCAATCAGTGCCCAAATTATCACGCTGTTTTTACACACCGGCTCGAATACGTGTACATGTCAGCTTACTTGGTAAAAAAGTCAGGGTTTTCTAGTACGAACCAGACTCCAGACACACTTCCTCCTGTTTGTTTTTAATAAGAGAAGAATAACAACTGACCATTTAGCTGAAGAAAAGCGAAGTTATCTTGAAATGGATATACACTTACAGCATGTACAGGTTCAAACCAAGTTCTCTTCTCTTTTTCTGCCTGATGCTTTTTCAACCACGAAGAAGAAGCAAGCAGCGCTGTCATAATGTCAGTGAGATTGTGTTGCCACCTAGCTGGGAGGTTATGAATTGCATGAATCGTTTGTAGTTTAGTGTATATTGTTTCACACGTGACAAATTCGGGACAAACGTATTATATTTGGTAATTTTACATTACATATTTTGCATTACATACAAGTCCACTTTTATTAGTTAGCCTACTATTTTGGACACACTGCCGATTTTCTTCACATAGTGGCGTGCATTCATTAGACATTTTACATTTTATAAGTTACCATTAGGGCAAACATTTATTCCAGAATAAATAGAATCTGTTTTTCTGCTGCTAGTATTATTTACTACTATTCAGTGAATTGCTTACTACTATCACTCGTATAGCCAAATTGTTTGAACTTTTTTTTTTTTTTTGCTTCAATTAAATAAAAAAAAAAATGCTCCTACTAAGTTTGTTGTAGGAACATTTGTTCTAATGCTGAATAAATATGTTTGTTTTAAATAAATTATTTAAATGGTTTATCTAGCATCGTCATAGCGCAATAGGCCTAGTAAAATGTTACTAAAACTGAAATATACGATCAATATTATATGTGCTTATCACAACTATAATCTTATAGCACAGGCATAAGAAGCGATTAATTAAACATAAAACTGGACACTTTTGGAATGAAGCCTATTTTTTTCTTATTATCGCATATATGTAGACTTTTATGGTTATTAATCATATATATAAAAGCATATATATCTTAAACTTCTCTTGTCTAGCTACTATTTATAGTTCGTAAAGAAATCTAAAAAAAAAATACTGTTACTGTACAGGAAAGAGGGAGGATATTAGGTCAAAGTGAGTCGCGCTCGCTCGCATAGAGTGAACTCATGGTTACAGATTCTGCACGAGCGTATGCGTGCTCCTGACGCAACAAGTATCTGGTTTCCAGTCTCTCCTTTGGATGACTACGCGCTGTCTGGAGACGAAGAGCTTTTAACATAAAGAAAATGCATAGCCAACATCGTATCTGAAGTAATACAGTTTTTAAAACGGTCGTTTGTGGAGCTGCGCTAAGTTTTAACCGATTGCATAATAGTGGCTCTGACTTTGACCGTTATTTCTTCTCTTCTAGTTGCATTACAGGACCGAACTGTATTTGAAAGCAGTCTTTGACGGATTTGCATGACATTTTTCTTTAGCCGTACGTGTTTTACGCATATGGATACTTTTCCGGAGCGCAGACGGTAGATTATGCATTCCACAGGATGGGTGCGAACAATGGGAAACAGAGCGGGAGTGAAGGTGAGTGCCAGAATCAAACTCTCACAGCCAGCCACAATGCTCCTTTTCCACTGTTAAATCTTGGTGTACAGCAGCCATAGTTGTGTCAACGTCACTATTCCCCATTATTCTTTGTGGGCAACAGTAGCCTTGCAGCAGTCACCTCATTTAGTGTCATAGCATGAGCTTTTGATACGTTTGAAAGGTCTTTCTGATGTATCTGGCGTTTGTCCAAAATAGTCTATGTATATTACATGTATGTATATGTATATAGTAATAATAATAATATATAGTAGCTATTATAATGCAAGACAACTAATGCATTAATATTTCTCCCATGTCTCTATGAAATGCATTTTGCTATAGGCTGAATATTGGAATGATAATTATGCCATTTTTTTATTTTATTAATGTGACATTGTTTCAGAACACTTCATTGTTTTAGTATTTCAGAGTTTATTTTCATAATATTTATAATTGATATATATTTATTTTTCATCCAACTTGCTTTATGTTTCTGCTTATAAGTCTGCTTAAATGTAAACACAAATTAAAGGACTGCAATTCTCATCTGTTTACCTTTTGTCACAGATACACACACACACACACACACACAACAATTGTTGGTGGTCTAAAAAAAAAAAAACTAAAAAAACCCAAGCATGGTTCCCGAAGCAGCTTTATGAGACCTTAAGAGGTTTGTGTTTGTAGCTAATAATGAGTTTGTGCCAACATTAGAGTGCACAATTCAAGCTGACTGTTTTTTTTTTATTATACTAAAGTAACCATCAACGAAGGGTGTGTGTACTTTAAAAAGATGGGAATTGTGGCCTAACACATCATCTTAGATTGTGGGCTAATCTAAATTTTCCAAACATATAGGCCAGGGCAGAGACTCTCCTTCAAAATGTGAATGCTGAAGGTTGCCACTGATCATGTCCAGAAAAACGTTCTTGCCAGATATTTGCTCTTAAAGAGTTAGTTCTTGGCAGTGTGAGAGACTTGTGGGTTTTTAAAGCACAGCAGTTTCTAATGTCAAAACAAACCTATAATGCCACTTTGTTTTGAATTTCTTATGGATGCTAAAATATTTTAGCCATTTTTGTCTTTGTTTAGTCACAGATGTAATTGTGGAACTGTAAACTTAAGAACTAGTATACAATCAAACATTTGTACCTTATTGCATATAAAAACAGTAATACTACTGCCCACTATTTTTATTGTAAATTGCTCCTCATAGGCCTGTATTCATTGTTCTCAGCATAATCATAAAAGGTGCTTGCTTCTTTTTGTAATTTTCATGTGAAATGCGTGGTTGAGTATCTATGGCAGTAGCTTTGTAAAATTCCATCAATGTAATGTTCAAGTCAATTAATCACATCAGCAGTGAAGCACATTCTTCAGAGACAATGAACAATAAACAATGCTTGTGAGATGTGATCAGACGTTGAATTAAAGGTTAATGTCTGAGCTGATTTCACTTGGGTTCACTGATCATTAAAAAACAAACCTGGCCTGAAATGTCTTTATAGTGATATCACTGGGAGACTATTTAGTGAAAAACAGGTTTGTTTACAGAGCAAAACACATTTTTTTGCGCAGCATGTGGAAGCTCCATCAGTCAGACCATTTAGGGTAAAATAAAAGCTTATGCGAACTCTATTTGTGTTTGCTCTCTCATCGAGCCTGTAAACATGCCTCATATGTGACCTGATGCTCTGACACAAACAGGAGTGTTTTGGAAACATTCACACCAGGGCATGTTGTTTTAGGTTTACTGTTATCCAAGAAACAGAAATACATTTGCTCCTCAAATCATCACACCTAACCAAAATGCACATTGCAAGAAACATGAGGCTTAGGTTTGCTCTTGTGTCTTGACTCTTTCCTAATTCGGAATGAACTTTTCAGAGACATGTAAAACAAAAGGCTTTTCATTTAGTGTTCCAAACTTCTTGATCGCCATGAAAAAGTTTGTTTTGGCTTGTTTTTCATAGTTCTCTAGTAACTTTGATCATCTTTATTTAATATTTAGTGTTTTTATGAGATGAACTCAAATGAATGGCACTTCAGCTTGTTTTTTTGGGGCACATCTTTCTGAAATGTAATTTGTAAAAGTGCTTAAACTTTCAGTTTTTTCAAGTCCCTGCCATTGGGGAGAATCTGTGGGAGGCATGGTTTGTTATTCTAAGTTTGTGATGGACAGACAAAGAATGCCTGGCATTTATCGTACGATTCGATGAATTCTGTTGCATTCTTCTCTTTTAACTATATTACAGTCATTTTTTTATTTGTGCACTTTCGACATTTAAAATATGTTTAGATTGACTTTTTTGTATTGTGTAAAGCATCATATATGAACAGATGTGTAAGTGTGCTAAATGTATGATGATTTCATGCATTTATCATCTTGCTAGGCTTCTGCGTTTTAAGATTAAGATGTGTATTCTCAATTTGTGTTGTATCTCTGGGTGTCCTGATGTGTCCTGGGGTGTTCTTTGTGATTTTAGGGAAAGGCAGTTCCAGTATTTCCTCCGACCTGAGTTCAAGTACGGATCAGACATCAACCAAAGCTCCAAAGAATGCAGCTACTAGTGAAGGTAGGCATATGGTCCTCATTAACCATCACTAGCTAGCCTTTTGGGTTTTTTCTTGTTTTGTTCCTTTTGACTTGTTGATTATTTTGGTGGAACTTTTTCTTAAAGCTATAAAAACTTAAAAATAAACTAGCCATCACAAACACTGCGGAGAACAGGGTTTCATTTTCATCCCTTTTCTCTTTTTTCACAATCTAGCCTCCAAAACTGGTCCAAATCCATAGTGTTGTTTAGAGTGTGCCTTGAAGGAAGAAAATCTGACTGGAAGTGCTTGGTTGAACTCATTGTTTAACTGTGTGAATGTGGATGAAAATAAAATGACAATTCCTGGGGAAATTGAGAAGCTGGCTTTAGTGGCCATTTCCTTGTAAAGCTTTCTCAAGGTGAATAATTAGAAAATATGCCATATATGGGTGTGGTTAAAAGTGCTCTAAGCGATGTCACACGTTTTTTTAGGCCAAAACTGTTTTTGACACATAAAGCA